TGCATGATTTTCTGCACACAAAGGGCATACAATGATGTACTAAATATTTATATCAATGTTCGATTTGAATGATGTGAATGTTCACATCTGCTAATGGTGAGTGATGTTACTGATGTGAATGTTCACATCTGTTAATGTGAGTGATGTGAATGTTCACATCTGTCAATGTAAGTGATGTTACTGATGTGAATGTTCACATCTGTTACTGATTAGTGATGTGAATGATGTGAATGTTTACATCTGTTAATTTGTGAAACAGTCATGCAATGTATTACAGATGTGAATGTTCACACCTATTATGTTGTTGTTAACATTCACATCTGTGTATCATTTAAGTTAACAACATAATAAGCATATAATTTTCACTGCGAATGATGTTAATGTTCACATCTGTCAATGTGCATCTTCTCATCTGTCATTTTTATGTTGTTGCTAACATTCACATCTGCCTATCATTTAAGTTAACAATATAAGCATATAATGTTGAGATGAACATTCACATCTATTGAAACATAAACAAAGCAAAAGTCTAGTGGTTACCGAACATGTGCTTGTAAAGATGAATGCTGAATCCTCCAAGCTTAGGATGACTAGCCCTTGTAGTTCAAATAGAATTTCACCATATGCATCTATCACCTGCAGAAACAAAGGGGTGGCAGTACATTATTTACAGTGTCTTTATAGTGTGTGTGTGTGTGTGTGTGTGTGTGTTTTGTACACATTTACAGTTGCCATACGTTGTTGGTTATTGATTCTTCCTTGATGATGTGTATGATGTCATCAAAATACACATCTTTAGTCTTTGAGTCCCTTCGCCACACTAGCAACCTGTGCAGTGTGATTACAGAAAATTTTAATGTCAACATTGCACATTTATGAAATGATCTAATTTATTAAGTATACATGTGAACTGAACATGAGCTAAAAAAAAAAAAATTCAGTTGGGGATATGTAAGATCACTTACTCATCACCGCCGTTCTTGTGCAAATTTTGGACCTTCTGCTTGTTGAGTTTGCTCATGTTTGCCCAAACCTTCAGTTTGTTGTTTAAGGTTAACTTCTTGTGCTTTGTAGGCTGCTTTTTCTGTGGATGCTTGTCTAAATCTTGTGCAATTTGGATTGCATGGGATTGCTCTTCGGCTCCCTTTTTCCCTTTCTTTTGACCAAGCAAGTTGGGGTATTCCAACTTATCCAACCGGTGCTCTTTCCTTACTTTCTGCTTGATGCGCTTTACCCTCGATGGCGGGCTAATAATGTGTTCCAATGCTAATGTGGGATGCTTCTTAAGGTTGTCATGAGCCTTTTGTGCTTCAACTTGAGTGATAATGTGAACGGATTGATCGTCAAAAAGGTATTGAAGAATTGTTTTTTCACATTCCAAGTTCACGACCAACTTTGTAAGCCGCTGAATTTCTTTATCTTTCCACTCCATGCAATTCTTCATGTCCTTGTCCATATTGGATGGGCTTGATTGGTTAAATAGTTTGGCTTCAAGGGCAGCAATCACCTTTGCCCTCAACTCTCATGATTCTTCTAACTGTTTGTATTTCACTTCCCATTGTCGTACAAGGCCCCAAGCTTTTTGGTTTTCTTTTATAAGTACATCCACAATGTCCGGCTCAGTTGGTTGTGCTACGATGATACCTCTCTCAGCATTGGGGGTGTTACAGCTGGGGTTGATATCATGTCCAACTTCATTCAGGTCCATTGCATCGACAGAATATCCGTCCTTGTCGTCACTGCATTAACTGTCTTTGTTTTCATCATCATTGCTTTCATCTTTCTTTGCTGGTGCACTTGACAAAATCTCAGGTTTGGGCTCCACATTCAATTTTGTATGATGGTACATGTTCGCTTCAGTTGGGGATGCCATTTGCTCGCCACCATATGCCTGCAGTTGGAGACATTATGTTAGTTAAATAGTTCCTTCTCTCACTATGTGAATGGACACAATATTTTTGGTTGTACTACTACCTCATTTAAACCAAGCTTAGCCAAATATATGGACTTCATGTTGCTATGTAAGGCTGTGAGGTCCCATTTTACACATCGTGGAATGGCATCGGGGTTGCGGGGTTGTAAGATTGTTGTATGCTCACACAACCAGTACTGAAACAAATAACAAATATCAGTAATGTGAATGTTCACATCAATTAACATTGATGTGAATGTTCACACCAGTGGCCAGTAATGTGAATGTTCACATCAATTAACAATGATGTGAATGTTCACAACAATGGCCAGTAATGTGAATGCTTACATCAATTAACATTGATGTGAATGTGTACACCAGTTTCTAATAATGTGTGTTTATACATTACTGAACAGTAATGTGAATGTTTACATTATTGATGTCAACTTCCACACCATTACCTAGTAATATAAATGTTCACATGAGTTATGTGAATGTTCCAAATTTGTTTTGGTGCTACTATCACATCAATCTACACTGATGTGAATATTTACAGCAGTGTCTACTAATGTGTATTTGTACATTACTGAACAGTAATGTAAATGTTTATATCAGTGATGTCAACTTCCACGCAATTGCCCAGTAATGTGAACATTCGCATCAGTAATGTGAATGTTCACATTTGTTTTGGTGCTAACATCACATCAACCTACATTGATGTGAATATTTACACCAGCTTCTACTACTATGTGTTTGTACATTACTGAACAGTAATGTGAATGCTTATATCACTGATGTCACCTTCCACACCATTGCCCCGAAATGTGAACATTCACATCAGAGTGGGCAAATCCTGTAAATGTTCATATTAAATATAGAATAAGTTTTATGAGATTTACCATTAACAACATCACAAATCCGGTGACTCGTCCTGGTTTTCCACAGTTTTGGCCCAATGAACCCATCAGGGTTGCCCGGATTCTCTCAGCCCAATCATACTCGATCATGTTGGCTAATGGGTCCATGTATGAGTAGAAAGCCCATCCAATTGTTTCTCCGGACGTAGAGAAGAATAACTTGACGCATGCATACATGCAAACTAATCTTGCGACCTCTTCATTGTCTTGTTTCTTGGTGCCCTTTAATGCGTCGCTCGGAATTTCTCGTATTTTGGCTGCACTTAACCAACTAACATCCTTGCACATCCGGTGTATGATGCTAGTTGTTGGTTTTGCACCATAAGAGAGGTCCATCGACTTGGTGCCGTAGTCCACCCCAAAAATCAGTGATACATCGCTTCTAAAAATCTGGATATTCTTATCCCCAATGTAAAACCTCCCACTAGATGGCTTGAATGTCTGCACTATACGTACACTGACATCATCATATTTCATGTAGTGGTTAAGGTCAACTTCATTATTGATCAAGCCGTCAAATAATGGCCAAAACGGTGTTTTTCTAAGGCACTTCAATTGGCCACTTGTAAATTTTGTATCCTTTAACAGTTTAACCAATCCAGTTAAATTTGACCGGTAGTTAACTTTTTTTATGTTCACTTCTTCAAGAACAGCTGTTTGATTAGGTTTGGCTTTGGCACGGGAATCCTCTCCCTTTCGCTTGCCATCAAATCTATTTGGAAGACTTGGGTGTTCAAATAAGAACATTTAATTGGCTGAAAAACAGAGGATGGAACCAAAAGCACCAAACAACATTCAACAATCAATAGTGATAGTAATCTCAACATTCACATCATTGTACACTTATGTGAATGTTCAAATCAGTGTATACTAATTTTAGTTTACCTAGTATAATAATGTGAATGTTCACATCATCTGTGTTTGCAAAATCAATTCCAAAAACAACAAAAGTTATAGGGCAATGTAAATGTTTACATGGGTGATCGCATTATGTTATAATTGGCTAAAAATTAAAGGGTGGAACCAACAGCACCAAACAACACCCAACAACACAAACAAGTCTGAGATTGATGTCACAATGTAAATATTTACATCATATTCCATCACATTGTTGAGTGAAGTTTGGGGGTTCTGTGGACATCAACAATCAATAATATCAACAGTGACATTAATGTGAACATTCACAACATTATACACAGATGTGAATGTTCACATCAGTTTCTACTAATGTAAGTTTACCCAGTAATCAACACTAATGTGAATGTTCACATCATCTGGTTTACAAAATCAATTCCAAAAACAACAACAGTTACAGAGCAATGTAAATGTTTGCATGGGTGATCACATTATGTTATAATTTATTGAAAATCAAAGGGTGGAACCAACAACACCAAACAACACCCAACAACACAAACAAGTCTGACATTGATGACACAATGTAAATATTTACATCATATTCTATCACATTGTTGAGTGAAGTTTAGGGGTTCTGTGGACATCAACAATCAACAATATCAACAATGACATTAATGTGAACATTCACATCATTATACCAAGATGTGAATGTTTACATCAGTGTCTACTAATGTAAGTTTACCCAGTAATCAACACTAATGGGAATGTTTACATCATCTGTGTTTGCAAAATCAATTCCGAAAACAACAACAGTTACAGGACAATGTAAATGTTTACATGCGTGATCACATTATGTTATAATTTGCTGAAAATCAAAGGGTGAAACCAACAACACCAAACAACACCAAACAACACAAACAAGTCTGACATTGATGTCACGGTGTGAATTTTTACATCGTATTCCATCACATTGTTGAGTGGAGTTTGGGGGTTCTGTGGACATCAACAATCAACAATATCAACAGTGACATTAATGTGAACATTCACATCATTATACGCAGATGTGAATGTTCATATCAGTGTCTACTAATGTAAGTTTACCCAGAAATTAACACTAATGAGAATGTTCACATCATCTGTGTTTACAAAATCAATTTTGAAAACATCTATGTTTACAAATTCAAATCCGAAAATCAGAAGGTGGATGTATACATCGGTGATGACATTATGATTGAAAAGCAGAGGGGGGAATGGTATTGCTTACTTTTGTTCCTCATGGTGGGTGGGTATGGTCACTCTTAGTGGATGAAATAAACTCAATCCAACGACGAAGAAGCACCCTCCTTCCGATGTAAACCTTCGCAGCGATGAGATGAAGAGGAATCTGGGGTCGACGGTGGACGGTGGACGACGACGACGTTGGTGAGGCGATGTGAATCTGGTTTCGTGGATTCAGTTTTTGTTCTGAAAATTTTGTGAATTGAATAGTTGGAATGGGAATGGGTTTTTGCAAAATCGATTACACGCGGGCGAGGTGGAGGAGGGGTCTTTCGTCCTTTTACAATTAATGGACCTAATGGAATATTCAAAAATAGTTTAAGTTTTATGGAATAAAACTTTTACAAATAGGATTTATCAAAAAAGAGTCCCTTATAATTAGATTTGTAGAATTCAAACTAAACACACCATTGCTCATTAGAAAAAAATAAAATAAAATAAGGTTGTTAGTTAAGATTGCCTGTGCCAATCGTCTTTGGCATGATTGAATCAATTAATTATGTTTATTTATTTAGTAAATGCAAAGGCTTTGTAAACGAAGCTTGCATATGTAAATGCAGCTTGCTCCGATGGCCGAGGGCGTCAAGAAGTTTCCTTCACTTTATTTTATTTGTAAATGCGTAGTGTTTGTCAATGAACGTTAGCTGGCATATTTTACCACTAAGTTTTTTTTTTTATTATTTATTTTAAGATAATCAAATAATTTTTAAATTTGAGAGAAGTTCATCTCTTAGGTAAGTTGATTTGATAATTATAATTTATTCATTTTATCACATTTGTCATAAAAAAAATGGTTTATTTTAAAAAACACGCATGTCGTCTATTTTTTTGAAGGCACATCTAATAAATTATTTAATTGACCTAAATTTTTTTAGATGGAATATATGAAATTCTAGATTAAATGGACGGTTCGGATCATCAAAACAAAATCTGTGATGACAACAGTCTCCAATCCAAATTATGGACCTGAGAGAATCCACCTCCCACTAATAAATACACATGAAATGAGATGAGATGAGACTCACTTGTATCTAAAAGTGATAAAATAATTAAAAAAATAAAACCAAATGAATTATTTTTATAAAAAAAAAATGTAAATAAAGTCATGGGAAATAAAATTTTAAAAATAGATTGGGCTCGAGTTTTTGAAATCAATTTTTGATTTTTTTTTGAAAACATAAAAAATAATTTGATAAAAATAAATATAAAAAATATATATTTAAATTTCAGTTTAGCCCTTGTGATTTAGGCTCAGAGCACTTTATCCCTTTTGAGTGTGTTTGATTGGACGGACTGGATAAGGGGGATTAAAATCCATCGGATTTGAATCTTGGGACTGTGAATCCCCGGACTATTTGGTTGGATTGAATGTATATCCCGTGTTTGTTTTCTCATGGGATTAGATGTCTGGAATTGGCTATTTTTAGTGAATCTAATATTTGGTTGGACAGACTAGATAATGATAAATGAGAAAAAGACTATTTTACCATTTTTTAAATTATTTACTAAGTAATAGCAATATTATACATATTTTTAATATTTTAATTAGTTTTAGTTAGATTAAATAAAAATTTATTTTATTTTATTTTTTGCACAATTAAATAAATTCATTTTTTTAAATTAAATAAATAAAATATCAATAAAAATATATGTTATTTTTTTAATTAAAATTTTAAATAGATTTATTTTAAAAAATAATAATAATTAAATAAAACATCTATTAAAATTTAAATAATGAAATTAAATAAAATATAAACAAAAATTTTAAATAAAACATCAATAAAATATCTATAAAAAATATTTAAAAAAATTAAATAAATAAAACATCAATAAAAAGTTAATAAAATTATTTTATTTTTAAATTGAGACATTTAAATTTTATTGAATTTTACTAAATATAATACATAATTAAATAGTAGAGGGTCAAAATGGTCATTTCATCACCTAATCCCAAGAGATTGTTATTCCATGAAAATTGTCCCACGCCCTCCTACCTTGGCAGCCGCCGAACAGTGTAATCCCACATATAGGGGATAAGGAGTCCAGTTGGACTCCATATCCGGCAGACTAAAAAAAGTAAAAACAACACCGGATAAAGGGTTTCCAATGGATCACAATTCGAATAGTAATTAGTCCCCCCCTCCCCTCCTAATCCCTAGAATCTTACGCACCCTTATAGTTTAAAAATAGGTAAAGACCTCTCCTGTAATTTTGGACGAAATTGTAACTATTATAATTTTCATCCAAATTAACGAAAAGTTTGGTAGATGTGCGGAATTTTGAGAGTGGGCTTTTTTTTAATTATTTTAATTAATATGAAATTAAAATTTAAAATGACCTCCGTACCCTCATCTTCATCATCCACACCTCTCTTCCTGTAAACCTAAAACATTATCCCGTCATCCCATTCCCTTACGCTAACCAGCTACCCATTTTCCTTCCTTCCCAAACCATTGTCGTTGCCTTCTCTCCTATCCTCGTCACTATCATCTTCTCTGCCATCCCCGACCATTGCCACAGCCTTCTTTCCAATCCCTAACCTTTATTTTCGCCTTCTCTCCCATGCCCGACCATCACTGTTTCCCTGTCTCCCATACTCGACCATTGCTACTGTCACCACTTTTCCTCTTATCAAGAAGCAAGATTTCAATAAATAATTTTGGCCAAATGATTATACAATGCTATAGGTTTGATTATGTTGGGGAATTTTCAAAATGGTTGTCAAAATTTTTGATTTAGTTTTTGTGTGTTTTCAAAACATTCCTTGTTTTTCTTTAGAAAGTTTAGAAATAAGCTTAGGGACTTTGTCTTAGATCGGAAAGAGAGAAAAACATGAAGCACTTAATAAAAATATGGAATTGTGGAATGGATGCTATGTGCATGCACTTACACAGCAAAGATGGTGCTTTGTACCATCCGCACATGCACACGCACATGCGCGGACGCATAGCGTGGACAGTGGGCAGTGTGACGTTTGATGGCGCACTTTGCACAGATGCATCGACGCAAAGCGCCATGAAGGCGCTTTCCAATTTGCATCGGACAGGTTGGAGCGATGACGTGAATCCAATGTGGCATGGGTGATGTGGAATACAATCAGCTCTGCATGGTAGTGATGTGGCGTCCTTTGGCGATGAGTCAACCAATCGATCTAACGGTTGCGTATCCGATCTAGAGCGGTTTGATCACTACAACACGTTGGGTCTTGAATGATGAATTTTTTTTGTCTCCAGAGAGCTAATTTCGTCACTATAGATATTTGTGAGAAAATATTTTCCTCACCGGTTTCATCATTGAATGTTTGTCACTAAAAACCACTGCGACAAAAAATAATTTCATCACCAATGATATTACTTTAGTGATGAAATTGTTTGTCACCAATAAAACAACATTTTGTCACCAAAAATTCTCATTTTCATCCCCAAATATTTTTTCAATACCATATTTATAACTTTAGTTGACGAATAAATTTGTCACGCATGTTGATCATTGATGAGGAAATAATTTCGTCACAATAAGATGTAAAGATGACGAAATTTTTCGTCTTCAAAAGTCATAATTTTGTCACCAATAAAACAACATTTTGTCGCCAAAAATTCTCATTTTCGTCACCAAATAGTTATTCAATACCATATTTATAATTTTAGTTGACGAATAAATTTGTCACGCATGTTGATCATTGATGAGGAAATAATTTCGTCACAATAAGATGTAAAAGTGACGAAATTTTTCGTCTTCAAAAATCATACATGGGTGACAAAATATATTTCG